TCCAGTAAACTATAAAAATTTTACTGTAAACTAACACTTTCATCCATAAAGAACAGACATGCTCAGGTTTAATTGCATACAAAAAAACAGTAAAGTTAAATTAAACATTTATAACTAGTAGAATTTCTATTTTGAAGGATTTTGGTGTTGGTGAGATATTTTTGAATATTCAATTAGCTGCTTCAGGATTATTTTGAATTTGAAAACACTATAATGAGGAAAGTTAGTGAATGTTATATTAGTACTAATTGAAGAAAATCTGTTTTCAACAGCAGAGGAAATAAATGTAAAAGTTAGTCTTCTCAGTAAAAAAAAGTAGAAGAAATATGTACAGGATTATAATGTTAAACTGCAGTGTATAAACAATTTTTAAAAGATTTCAAATTTATTCTCTAATTCAAAAGAATATACTGCATAATTTGTTGCTCTATGAGATGTTTTTCTTCATTATATCTATCTTTCTTAAAAACATCTGCATGATGTTTCTTATAGTTAGGGCAGCTGCTTAACTGATACAAAACACATTTGTCCACTGTATATGTATATACACACGGTGGATTCCTTTTAACTGGAATATTGGGACAAATGCATTTTATATATACAATATATCATTTTCAAGTTAAGTAAGTATATTATGGAGATACAAAACTAGACAAACATATTTCAAATTTAAGTGAAAGAAGAATTATATATAAAAATAAATATTAATTAGGAATTTTTAAATCTATGAAGTACTGTTAACAGTCAGAGTCAACATTACATTATGGAAATCGTTCTAGACTGCATACTGTAATATCAAAACACTTACTCAAACACCTTTTATTGCAGCCAAAGTTTATAAGAGAAACTTTCTAACGTTTTCGGTCTTGTTAAAAGACCTTTCTCAAGAAAATAAATCAAATAAATCAACAAAATTGTAAATCGAATGCTTAGTATAGTTAACACGTTTTTCGAATCTTTTCGAACTAGCCTTATAATCCGTTGCAAATGACGTCATTGTGAACTTAGCAACGGAAATATAAAAAGATTACATAAATATCTAAATATAAATACACATATTTACCCTCTCCCTACATCATTTAAAAATACATAGCCTAAGATACATAGTAACTAGTTCCCTCAATTATTAAGTTTATATTAAACTAGAGGACCATGCTGCCGATATTTTTGTCGATTCCCGAAAGTTGACTGCAAGGCCTTTATGCTTTGCCTTACAAATCTGCCAGGCTTCCGCGTAATGCCGGTGTTTCTTGTCGCGGACTATCTGCATTAGTCTTGCTTGGTCCCATTCAACTTTGACGTCTTGCTGGTCCGCTAGAACGTAGGTGGCTAGCGCAGTGCATGGTTGTTTTTTTCTTATATTTGCTTGATGTTCTGCTAACCTGTCTTTGATACATCTTCCTGTTGCCCCTACATACATTAATTTACTTCGTCGCCTTGAGTCTGTGACTGGAATTTTATATACCCCGGGGAGTGTTCTTCTATCCACTAAATCCTTATCAGATCGTAATAGTTGGTACGTGGTGGGGGTTCTTTTATATACGATTCTTTTGTTCTGGGCCTTTCCTATGCGTCGGAAAATATTATTCAACGAAGCATTATATTCCATCGTTAAAACTCCTTCATTATGAGGTAAATTTCTCCTCTTAATGCTCCTATTACTCTTGTTGATAATAGCTTTAAGATTAACCCCGTGCTTTCTGGCTAAGTTATATATATAATTCAGTTCCTCGTTTCTATCTTTTGTATTGTTACAGTGCGAATAAGCTCTTGAGATTAACGTTCTAAACGCTGCTATTTTATATGCTGGAGGATCGTGAGAGGACCACGGAATAAATATAGGGTTATAGGATGGCTTTCTGTACACTTTAGTCGTGAAATCTCGTACGTTGTTAATTTGTATATGCAAATCCAAGAAATGTATGATCTTATCATTTTCTTGCTCTAACTCTATCTCCAGGCCGAATCTATTGTCATTTATATCTTTTATAAAGCTCTGTATGTTGGGTTGAGTGTTCCAGAAAATAAGTACGTCGTCTACATATCGAGCATACATTATCATTTGCGCTTCATACTTCGGCAACACAGCGTTTTCTAGCGTTGTTAGTACCATTTCACATAGAGTACCTGCAAGGGGGCTGCCCATAGCTACCCCTTTTTTCTGTGTGTATGTAACATCTTTGAAGCTAAATAACGCTGAGAAGACTGTAAGGTGTGCCAAGTCTAATATGTGTTTTCTTTTCTTTTCTGGAGACGGGATCTTGCTCAGTAGTAAGTCCCTTAAATGACAAAAGCATGGTTCCAGTTTAACGGAAGGATACAAGGCCTTGTAGTCTAACACCGTCATATATTTCACTTCTTGCGAGTTAATATTAGCCATTTTGTTTAAAACCTCTATCGGTTGCTTGACGCTGTATGGATTATTAGGGCCATGCTGCCGAACAAAGTTGTGTACCCATTTTTCGAGTAATATTGTAGGGGCGCCTGCTTTGTCGACGACTGGTCTTATTTCTTTTTTCTTTTTATGGGTTTTAGCAAATCCAAAAAGCCTTGGAGTCGAAGGGGATTGTACGATTACATTCTTGATGCCTAGTTCTTTGGCTAAAGGAGTGGTTGCGAACCTCGTGACTCTTACTTGCAGTTTCCCCACGGCGTTGGGGGGTGCAATCGTACAGCATGTATCTTTAATGTATGCTGATAGAATGTGGTCATATGTGGCTCTCTTCATAACAACCATATCCTTTGATTTATCCGCCCTAGTGAGCACTATGTTGTTGCTTCTAAGCCAGCTCTGAGTTTTTCTAATATAAGGCCATACAGGATCTCTGTCTCGTTTACCTTCCTCATGCTTGATTTTCAATGCGACTTCCCATCTAAACATTTCTTTCTTATTTTCGCTGAGGCCCTCTAATGCTTGCTCAATATCTGGTATGAGTCTGTCCTGTTTGATTACCGGTATTGGGGCGTATTTAGGGCCTTATTTAGTTGCTTCCTTTACGAATGTAGGCAAATCGATGTTGTCCCAACATATAATCTTCGGGGTGATCAATTCTTTAAATCGATCTTCTTGATGTTTTACGATCCAGGTCATTTTGTTCCTGTATCTCTTCTTACATCTTTCTGTCACCTGTGCGGCCAATGTTATTACTCGTGCGTTAACTTCTTTTAAGATCTTAGGGTCGTGGTCATATAATTCATTCTCTAGCTCTATTAATTCTTTCTGCAGGACAAACTTTCTCCGTCAAATATTGCGGATCGCCTTACGTAGACAGATTGTTCTAAGTTTAGGGATAAGCGACGCGCAACCATTTGGTAAACGTACCCTCCAAATTGACATGGGAAATAGGTTATGAACTCTACATTCCGTCAAAAATTCTAGCTTCATATTATTTCTGCAGATCTTTAGTACTAAGGTTCTATACTTTTTGGCCGGCGATGCCAAATTGCAAATCGTTCTAGACTGCATACTGTAATATACTGTAATAGAAAGTTTCTCTTATAAACTTTGGCTGCAAGAAAAGGTGTTTGAGTAAGTGTTTTGATATTACATTATGGCTTCTCAGTTTTGTATTTTGATATTTAAGGATTAAGTAAGAGAATTAGTATAATGTTTCAGTAGAACACTTGAAGTTTTATTAGTTTTGTATTTTTTTTATATAAAAATTTTTAAACATTGCACAATGTTTAAATATTATGACTTCTCATTTGCAATTTAGAAACCGTATTTTCAAATATTTGATCAAATATATCTAAAGATGTACAAAATACTAAATGCCTTTCTGAACAATATATTTTATTATTTATCTTTAACAAATATTCTCTACGATTACAATAAAAGTATATAGAATTTTACAAATTAGTTCTCTCTAGTTATATACACACAGATTAGACACAGACATACGATAAGAGTCACAGATTGACTCTTATCGTAGAAATCAAAATACGGTATAACAACTTTCAATAATTTTTATAATAGCTTATTTAATGAAATAAAATTTTGGTTAATAATGAAAATATAAACTAGCTTTTTCAACTTCTGGCAGATTAAATTTACTGTAATTGTATCAACAAAAATTTTGACATTAAATACCGCAAGTATACTGACACTAATTGAACAGATAACACGCCATTAATCAAACAATTAAGCCTTAAATACAATAAACCCATTTAAAAACGTCAAAATACCATACAATTCTCTCGAAGCTTTCAGTTAGAAAAACAGTAACGCGCAGGAAAAATTACTACACGTGCATACAGGTACATTAAAATAAATTATATTTCGATACTTCATTCCAAATAATTGTAAGATTTAATATATGCACATATATATATATAATATACTTTTTCCTGAAGACGGTCTAAGTTCAAGGCCTTTCAGTCCTTGAAGATTAAATCATTCTATTTGCATTGCCAGTCAACTGTGTTGTGTTTTGTCTGCTAAAGATAATCAATTTTATCATAAATATGTTATAAATCATATTCAATTCGAGAAGTAGCAAAGAATTTTTGCATTAAATTCTTCATTCGATCCCGTGGCATCTCCAAAAGCTTTATCCGATCATAAATTTGTCTTTCGCGGACGTATGTTTACATATTACATATATACTTAAGCAGATTTAAATTGGTTTATACACACACACACACACACAGAAATCAAATTAAATTTAAATTATTTTATGTATATTTTAAATTTAAAAAACTTTGTTTAATTAATAAATAAAATCATTATTTTTGATTTCAAATATTTTTACCATTAAAAATTGTTAAAATCAAGCAAAATCAATGATAAGAAAACATTTATCTTCATTGTAATTAAGTATCACCCTTAATGTGCTAATTAATTACAATTAATTGAGGCATTTAATTAGTTTAGCCTTCTAACGTCGTGTACGTAATCATTTGTTATTTTATTTTATAATTATTCCGAATTTTTAATAATAAATCATTTAATTAACTATTTAACGTTAAGTTGAATCGATTTTAATAAAAATGAATCTTACCATCGCCAGGTTGGATCGTCTGGATTTCGACTCCCATTTCGGTAATATAAAGCCTTAATTATTTATAAAATAAACCTTTAAAAAAATTAAATATAACGCTTATATTAACCTTTAAAAATTATTTATATGTAATAATTTCTATTTAACGGATTTTTTATCTTCTAAATATTTATCCTTAATTAACTATAAAAGAAAATCTCGCATCAAAAGAAACTTCCGAGACACTCCGATCTAAATGATGCAGAGGGCGTCTGGGCGAGTGATATAAAATCTTTTTGTTTTTTTATTTTTTTTTTATTTTTATTCTTTCTCCCTCTTTACGCACCGCGTATATTAAATTATTATTCTATATGACAATTAAAATATTCTTATTTAATAATCGTAATATATTTTCGATTCGTTAAATTTATTTAATTTTTTAAGATATTTTTATAAACGTTTATTTCCGAAAGGGGGAGATAGTGTCGACACATCTCTTCTTTTATCGTCTGCTTTTGTTTTGTGTTTGTAACTAGAAGTTTAGGTATACGTGCGAAAAATACATCATTTGTTTGTAAATCGTTTTGAACAATGCTGTTGATGAATATTGGATTCGAAGGTTTGATTATATTTATTGTTTTATAATGTTATATATACGGTATACACATTTTGATTCAATTATACAATAATTGTTAAGCCTCGTCGCATTTACGATCGATAAATCGGCCTTTTATGAGTAAATTTGCCGATGTATTCATCGAATTTGCCGAGAATATACGACAAATGTTAAGAAAACTTTATTAATTAATTATTATAATGATGTTTAAAGTAACGATAAGTAAATTTATACGTTTATTTCATTTATAATTAACGTTTGATCAATAAATTTCGCTTATTAAGAATATAATACGCAATTGAAATATAAATGATTTGATTTATAGAATTTAATAATTTAAAGAGATTATTTGTTTTTTTTTTTTTAAATTCTTTATATAATTAAAGATCATGTTTATATAAATTATTGTTATGATAAAACAGTGTATTTTATTAGTAATTGAGTTTTAATGTTGTTTTTATTTTATTCATTTTTAATTGGCTATTAAATTATTTTGTGTCTATTTCAGTACGCTTCTAGCTCCGATGGTCGTATTCATAATCGAGGAATGGAAATTAGAAGTTAACCAATTGCCATTCGCTTCGTGTTTAGTATGCGAACTCTTATTGGTTAACTTCTAAATCTTCGGTTGTGAATATGGCAGTTGTATGAGATGGTTGGGATCTTATTAGTTTCTTTGACATTTTTTACTCCTGTCTACAGCAGGGATCTCAAACTCGAATGCAGCAGACGACCAGTTGAATAGATATATATTTGATGTGATTACTTCTGATTCTTCTACAATATATTGATAATTGAAGTTTTTATCATTAAATCAAATACAATGAAAATAAATAAACAAATTGAATTATTTAATAAAAAAATTTATTTAGTTAATATAATAGAATATCTAACAAAATGCAATAATTAAATTAAAATTTCTAAGCATAGCCAGTTATATAATCTATTTAGTATGAGTAACAAAATTGTTACATAATTTGGTTATTCTAGTTCAGTAGTTTAAGACCAGGAGTGCTTCCAGTCAGGAAAGTGCTAACTTTGCTGGTACTTTTCTATTAATGGAATGCCAGCTGATATGTGTGGTACAGCAATGGGTAAGGTTCAAACTTTGAATGAGGGAGGGGTTTCACGCCAGAATTGTTGACCCTTTGCGAGATATTTACCTCCAAAGGTCAGTTTTTAACATGTATCAGTGTACTGCCTACTCTATAAGCTTTGCATGTAGAAGTGCATTTCAGTGTTTGCTATTACTCACACCTCAGAACCTGGGTAGGAGCTCATCCCCACCCCCCCTAAAACTATATATAACATCAAGTACTCCACAAACAGTCAAGTGGGCTATTCAAAGCTGGCACAGTCACATTGGCTAAATAGTTAATCTTAGTGGATGACAATATTGCTTATTGGTTTAAAGTTAGAACTGGCATCTTGTTAACAGAAAAGAACCACTTTGCTTGCACCAAGTTTCATCATGTTTCATTTTTTAACTGGATGATCATATTTGCTTAAGAAAATGGCTGACAAAATTCAAGAATCCATATCAACAATCTTTAGTGAATTGATGGATGATTCTGTCACATTTTTCTTAACGAAACAAGTTCAGAATGCATTGTAATATCTTCATGCATTTTATACAACCAGTCAAGTTCTATAAAACAACCTGTCCTTGGAAGATGCCATATTTACTTCAGTTGAAACAACAAAGTTACAAGCTGCTAACTTCACTAACTAGCAAAGTTAGTAATCATGACATTATTTCTTTAAGCAGTTGTTCAACCAGAAGGTTTGCTTAGTATTAATTACTTACTTAATTACTTAGTATTAGCTGCTCACAAACTGGAAGCACTCTCGACTATCACTTTTGATTAAGTTAGAGTTGCCATTAGTATTGGCAAAAATTGGAAATTCTTAAAAATGACTATTTTCATAATGGTTTGAAACTGGTTTAAAATGCTATAATAAACTCAGTTGAATTAATAGAAAATTAATTCTATTAAATTCAAAGTATACAATAAAATTAATGTTCTATTGATTCAACTGAATTTATTACAGCATATTATTTATACAGTGGTACCTCAGGATACGAAATTAATCTGTTCTGACACTGAGATCGTATCGTGAAAATGTCGTAAGGTGAATCATTTTTCCCCATACGATTACATGTAAAACAAAATAATTCGTTCCAACACGAAAAACACACTCAAATTAAAGCTAAGTAATACATAAAAAAAATAACTATAGTAAGGAAAACACTGAAAAATGCGTTTTGCAGTTGTAAATTTATAAATATAAAAAAAAAAAAATGTAGCTATATTTGCACTTTACCTTTGAGGATTGACGACGGTGGAGGTGTAAATTGGTGGCGGAAGAGAGGGAGAAGGGAAATGATACTAAAACTTAACTTACATAACATAATGTAACAATAACTTAAAAATAACTTAGAAAAGATAAAAAAAAATTAGTGTTGTTTTATATATATATTTTTTAATTTTTATTCACTGCTATTTGCTTTCTTTCCTTCACTTCCACCAACACTTTCACTGGATAGAGGTCGCTTGGTAAAATATCTATCGAAAGAGGTTTGGCTTTGCTTACTTTTTAAAATGTTTCTAAAATGACTTAGGCAAATGTCATTACTCCGAGCAGCAATACGGCCAGTGTGAACCTTTTCGGGATGTTTCTTTTCAATAAAATCAGTCACTTTCTGATAATACCTCAAGATTTCCTATATCGAGCGAGATCCTTCCACGACGAAGCAAACAGTCGGACTGAGACTGATGAACAGAAATGAATAAAAAATGGCGCTGCGAACTAATGTAACATCATATGGTGAGTTTTTGTTCGTATCGTGGAGCAAAAATATGTTCGAATTTCGTGTCGTATCCTGAAAATTTCGTATGATGGGGCGTTCGTATCCTGAGGTATCACTGTATTAAGAAAGCATGACAGTAAATATGAGACAAAATTCACTAATATGTCCATATTGCATATTATTCCCAACAAAGAGGTCTGTGTTTCTTCAGTGGTAATAAATGCTGGAATCTGATAGAATTTGAAAACTTTTATCATTTTAAAATTTAAACATGAATAATGTATGGACTTTTAAAAGTCAAGAATGATAAATTTGTGCTGTGTACAGATTGTAATGTTATACTGAAATTTTCTTGGAATATATCAGTTATGTGGAATCATCTTAAATCTAAGTATATTTTACTGCTAAATGAAAGTCAAAAAACAGAAGTAACCACAATGATATCATAATAATGATAATATTTTATTGTCTGTTCAAAACTGGTTTTTGATTTTTGCTAAAATCACAACGGCAGCAAAATTTGGTTTTGTAGACATCATTAGTTGCCATAAGTTGACCATCCCGATATGGAACATGTAGTGTTGAACCTTGGGGAGAGAGTAGTTGTTGGAATGAAAGCTTTGGTAGCTGGTTCTTGTTATTTTTAATGATAAAAAAAAATATATATATATATATACAGTATACTAAAATTTAAGTGTGTTGAGTGTGTTATGGCCACCATTCTGAATAACATGGATCTATGAATGTTGATTTCAGATAAGAAATGGAAGTTTGTGTTAAAAATTTAAGTGTAACCTTAAGAAAATAAATTCTAAATTAAAGTATCAGTTATGAATTTACTTTTTGTCATAGCAGTCATACTTCTCTGAGCATTTCACATTTTTGAGGTGACTTTCTCATTTTTAACAAACTTGTAAAAATTTTAAATAACTGAAGTTAGTTACAAGAAAACTGAAAGATAGGTTCCACAGTGTCAGTAGACATTTTCTCTCATTTGTCACATCACCTTTTCATCAAAGAAAATATTCTTTCTACAGAATTATCATGATCTGGAATGGCAAAAATGTACTCACATAATTTTATTAACCCCTAGCTTCTGTTTATTATGTTTTGTTTCCTTGAGTCACTCTGTTTTGCATATCTATTTCATTTTTTACGATTTAATAGTTTTTCTCCATGTAATCTGAGATAAACTAATCAAAGAGGCCTATATGTTTAAATTTTCCATACCTATGTTTTTTTTTCTTGGACTTTTTGACAGATTTTCAATTTGAAATTTTGTTCACACATATCCATTCAAAGCTGGAGAACATTTGAAAAGACACTGCCCATTTTCCAGATGATATGTTCACAGGCCAAATTGATTAAATCCTTTAGTTATATAAAAATAGCATATCCTTGGAATAATCATTGTGTTATATGATGTTAGATAAAAACTATACCTGTAAAAATACATTCTACATTTTACTGTTAATTTAAATTTTAAAAAACAGTGTATGTTATCAGTTTCTCTACTTTTTTGTTTTGTGGAATTAATCAATTTGGCAAATGAGTGGCTCATATAATCATAGGCTAAATCTTAAAAATTATTTAATACTTCTAAAAATTCTTAATAGATTTTTCAATATTATTGTAACTGTCTTGTTTTTTAAATTTATTTAAAATAGTTTAATTTTAAAATTGTTTAATCCAAAAATTTAGACTTACACTCAATAATGAATTTGATAGAAAAATCTAGTAAAACTCACTTCAATTACTGCAACTTTGAATTTTTCCATTTCTTTTATATGATTTTCAAAAATTTATAACAATTTACAAACAAAATGTATATCTCTTTCAAAAGATGTGAAAAAAATTGAATTACTTGTTTTGAAGGTTTACTCTTGGCTATAAAACTTAGATGCTTCCAAATCTTCAATATTTGTTCAACAGTACTCATTAATGATATTTACATAGTTCCTGAACATGATAAGAATTTTTGATTGTAACATATTGATGGTCTTTCAATATCTGTTCTTATGGAATAGATAGAAAAATAATCAAACATTGATTCAGCTGTGATTGAAATTATAATAAGTAAAATATGGTCTTAACATTTTACTCCTTTAACTTCTATCCTTAATTCTGAATTCAGTCTTTGAAAAGCATTATTTTATCTTTTTCTTTCTAACTTGGTGTTATCACCTCAGAA